TCTCTCTCTCTCTCTCTCTCTCTCTCTCTCTCTCTCTTCCTTTCTCACTCTCCAACACCTTTTTTCCCTTGCTTACTACCCAAATTTGGTTAAGTAATTGAGAAAATAGCTCGAAGATGTGAAAAATATTAGCGAGAATGCAGGATGACTCATAGATCGTGTACTTCTTCTCGACTATACATTTTTTTCAACACGAACTGGAAATTAATTATAATTGTATCTCGTAACTAGTGCGGTCTAGGTGCCGCGGGCGAATCTTACGCCGGAGAACCACTCCTCTCTCTCTCTCTCTCTTGATTACTACTGTTATAATTCGTGATTATGGACGAGAAGATGTCATGCCTCGCGAGGTTTTAATCTCCGACATTCAGTTGAAACCTATTTATTCCGAGAAGTCCTTCAGTTTTGCATGCAGTGCTGTATGACAATGCTGCGTTCTTGAGGCAAATTTTTCGCAAAACTGCTGACAGCGTCACGTGTTTTTTTGTTTTTGTTTTCTTTTTTTATGGCGGCACAAACTTGCATCCAGATGTCGACGAACAGAACTCGAACAAGACTCGTCAAGATGCGTCAGAAAGAGAGAGAGAGAGAGAGAGAGAGAGAGACTCTGAAAAGGAAAATTCAACCGCAATACAAGAAATCGTAAAACGACCAAGATCGCTAATCCGCCTGCCGCTTGCAGTAGTGTTCACCGGCGAAGAATGCGGTGCATCGTCGACGCGGTGCAGTGAAAAAAGACTTGGTGGCCTGGCTCTCCTCATTCATCCTATCTATTCGATTAATTCGATCGGTCACTCTTAACAAGTGCGATTGTCCGAGAACACGAGACGCGCACGTCGATCACTGCCGGATTATTCTCGAATAAAGTATGAGAAGAGATGGATATTTGCAATAAAACTGTATAGGATATAATTATGCCACACGTATGTGACGTGAACGTATCGTACGAAAAATATATACTTCGTAGTGACTTCGCGCGTGGTGCACGCACTGCTCGGTGTATCTGATGTTTAATAAGCGCGGGTCAACTGGAGTCAACGGTGCAGCTGTGTCCACCGTCGGCGAACTATTACCTCGATTCATTATCAGTGGCCTCTTTGTGCACGTCTCTTGTTTCATAGGAGTCCCCCACGTCGGCCAGCCCGTTGACTTCTCTTAATTGAAATGTCACCTACGGCGCAGTTCCACCGGCCGCACAGTCGCGATCATATTCGTAAAAAACATGTCCCATATAAATCTAATCGCACGTGATTCAAAGAAACGACTTATTACGCGCCCTCCGCTTTGATCCCTTTCTTCTCACGCTCGAGCAACACCTTCGGGGAATCAGCGTAAATTATCCCCGTTAATTCGCAAGATAAGAGATAGGATCGCGCATAGAGATGCTCGAAGATTAACGAAATAACAATTAGACAGCTTGTGCGCACATATAAATAAACGCGCGTTTGTTTTTGTTGCAGTGCGAGATGACGAAGCAGACCGTGTAAGCGACATCGCGGAATACACAGAGGAGGAAAACAAGAACCAGAACAAAGGTAAGAAAAGAGATGAAGAGAGAGAGAGAGAGAGAGAGAGAGAGAGAGAGAGAGAGAGAGAGAG